TGTATGTATGTATGTATGTATGTATGTATGTATGTATGTATGTATGTATGTATGTATGTATGTATAAATAAATAAATAAATAAATAAATAAATAAATAAATAAATAAATAAATAAATGAGTCAGAACCAGTTTACCATTTCCTTCTGGGAGCACAGTGGGATTACGTAGCTTGCCCAAGGCTACACAGGTTGGCCTGGGAAAACCAGTGGAGAATTGAATTCCCAACCTCTGCCTCCACAGCTGAATACCAAGTCTCCTAGTTCTACATTTGAGGGTCAGGAGTCTGATTCCTTGCTGTACTGTGTAGGAGAAATGTCAGCCTGTGTGGTTTTGGGCAAGCTGCAGAATTCCAGAGCATCATCAGTAAAAGGGAATGGGAAACCACTTCTGAATATCTATAGCTAGGAAACCCTGGAAAGGGTTGCCATAACTCAGAATTGACTTGATGACATATAATTATTGAGAAAAGGGTAGTCTTAGGTAATTTCTGATACCTCTAGGCTGAAATAGGTTTACATTTAGCACAGCTTTAGCTGCCTACATTTGGCTCAGCAGATATTTGGCCTTCTTGATCCATGAAGATTGCATTGTTACATGGCTACCTTTGAAGAAAAAGTGGCAAGTGAACCTAATAAGATGAACCCAAAGTCTCTCTCCTCCCCCAGATGTAATTAAATGGAAGATGAGTTGCTCCTGTCTATTCATTTGAGTTTTTCTTCGAAGAGGGGTTGGTAGGTGAAAATTTGATTCAGGTGACTGAGTGGGAGAATAGGAACAGCTCTGAAAATGATGAGAAAGAAGGAACTCCCTGGTAAACAGTGTGGTAATTTATACTATATTTGGGTTTTTTTCCCCCTGAGGCTTCACATGTGATGATAAGAATCCAGAAAAGACACTGATTTGTAATTGTAGTCATTGATACAGAGAGTACGTATAATTCTCACTATGGGAACAATTGACTAACATTTTTTTAAAAATAGATGTCAGTTGGAGAATCTTTGGAAATATGCAGGCTTAAGATCATATACAGTGTAGTGTGTGTATATCTACTCAGAAGTAAGTCCTATTTAGTTCAGTGGGATTTATTTCTAGGCAAGTATGCACAGGATTGCACCTTTATCTGAATCTTTGTTTGAGTAGCCAAAGAAAAACTGATGCTACGTTGTTGAAGGTTTGTTGTGTATCTGATGAATTCCCTTGGTGGGAGACCACTGAGACTCATATATATTCCAAGGGAATATATACAAACCTGAGTGTAAACTTTGTGTGTAGATATATAGCTATTAGGAAGAGAAAGAAACCAGAAACCTACTTATTTATTTTATTCTTGTTTGAATCTCTGTATACTGCTTTCATGCAATAGGCTTCAGGATGGTGAACAGTAAATATGTCATAACAATTAAGGTGTATAATAAAACTATAACTGGAACATTAACATGTGGCGCCAACTAAAAACAGAAAACAGGCTAAGGCATCTCTCAAATTAAAATTAAAATGTCTTAACCTGACAGTGCAAAGGACGTAGCCAAAGGCACTAGGTTTTTGTTTGTACAGTGGCTAAATATATTGTTGTTTTAAAACTGATGTTTTCTGTAAAAGGAAGCTGGCTAGAGAACTCCATGAGATGGAGCATCTGCTTTGGAGTTTGGTTCCCTGCTGTGCCACTCTGGAGAACGGCCAACCGGTATACCTTCAGGAGCGCTGCACAGTCCCAGAGCACCACCAGAAGAAGGAACCAGTAAAAACAACGATAATTATTATAAGTCTTTGTGTGTTCTGTCTGCAGCAGTTAACATTGGTGGCTATGTTGGCTGAACAGTTAATGTTGGTGTCTCTGTTGGCCGAACCTTCTAAGTCACGTTCAATAGCAGCCCAATACAGAATGCATTACAGTAATCTAATTGGGAGGTTACTAGTGCACTCTTTCCAGAACACTGAAGTTAGTTAAAACTGGTAGAATCTGCTCCATGTCACCAAGATTATTCAGGCTTCTAATGACAAAGCTGAATCTAGGCTGCCTGTTTTCCCAGGCTGCAAACCCACTTTTCCAGAAGGTGTGCAGCCATATCCAGTACAGATTGTACAGCAATTCCTGAGGTGTCTGGTTACAGTGAACTTTTCCCTTCCATTCCTCTCCTCAGGACATCTTAGTTTGTTTGTGTATTATGTAAAAGACCATTCACTGATGGCACTGCATAAATAATGTGAATACTGTTACCAATTTACATTCTTTAACCATCTTACTGTGTCCACAGTTACTCTCTACCATTTCAATGAATACCTGTTGGTAAAGTGAGGGTTATGCTGGCTAGACTAACTTGTTTCAAATCCATAAGGAGAGGGTAAGGATCTGTTCGGCCACCCACAACAAATCCTGCCTGTCCAGATGACATTACAGGGAGATTCTCTTACAACATCTTAAGAGTCCATTCTAACTTCAGCTTTTGACCATGCATGTGAATGTAGGTGAGAACCTTATGTTCCTGGAGAAGGGATGGGAAATATGTCACTCTCCAGATATTGCTGGACTCCAGCTCCCATCAACCATTT